GGGGTATCTTCATGTCACCGTTCATCTTGATGGATCGTTCTTGTCTGACCATCGATCCTTTGTAAAGACGGTTGGTGACTGGGTCTTGTCGCCCAGCCACCGCAAGACACATCACCCCTCTCACCCATGGTCCAGGCCCCACCTGATGCTTCATCCAGCACGAGTGCTGGTTGTGATTCTGGGGCGGCATGGCCTGGGTGAGACTGGGCGGGAATCAGATGGCCACGGTCGGCACTGCTCAAGTAGTGCATGACCCCAAACCGTGGTCATAAAGGCCTGCCCAGACATCTCCGCGCTCTGGTGACGCGTTTATTTCTTGGGTTCATTCGGCTTGCGGTTCACACACCGAGAGTGTGCCCACCTGCCTCCTTGCGCCGGCTTGCTTTGCGTCCTCGCTCGACCTCCGCTGCGCTCTTTTTTTGGTGCTGGTCTCGAACATTCGTCACTGATCATGAGCCCGCGACCGGTTTGCGCGCCGTGAGACCATGAGCCACTCTAATTTTCAGTAATCTGAGGCCCTCTTCTTATCAAACCCCCCTTCTTAATCAGCCCCCATAGCCCCCTTCAAAGAGCCACAGCCCCGCTTGTCTGCCTTCCCGAGTCTGTGCTACAGACGCTTGTGGCTCACAACCCTTTGCTCCTGCCTTCCTGGTTAGCACTCCTAGAACCCATTGCCAGTGCAGGAGGACTATCATCTGGACGGCAGTCTACAACAGCGCGACTTTCAATTGCTTGCCTGGCCAGGCATTGTCCCAGCATTAAATCCACGCGCGGTATCCCAACAGTAACCCCCAAACAAAGTCTACACAAAGTAATTGGCCAACTGTGCCTCCTTGCCCTTGGGCATACGTCGACCTCGGCCCCGACCTCGGCCCCGACCTCGGCCCCGACCCCGCGACCGCATGCGCTGGGCATGCGCCAACTCCACTAGGGGAGCCAGGTCTTCGTGGCAAAAAATGCACCCTTGCCGCGTTAGCGTGCCATCCTTGAGCGGATTCTTCGTCTTGTTAAACTCCACGTCGACCTCCATTGCCCCGCATGCTTCGCACGGAGTCTACCACGTACCCACCACCGTCGTCAGTGAAAGCAGAGATGTGTTCCCGAATTGAAACCGCATACGCAACGACTGGCTTCTCCACATGCCGCCCTGCATCCCATCTGCGCCTCACCTTGGTAATCTTGATAGAGTGCGCGTTCTCAAACAACCGAATGACAATGTTGCAGCGGTTGCAACACAAACGCCATTTGGGCTTGCTAAAACCCATCAAAGAGGGCCGGTGACCAGGTCGTGAGTGCTTTTTTTTTTGTTTGTTTGTTTGGAGGGGTGTTTTGACGGGGGTGGGAAAAGAAAGTGTGACTGCTACCAGCAAATCAAGAGCTCAACGGATCACACAGACACAACAACAAAGGGCTGGTCGTAAAGCAGGGCTCGAGCGGAAAATCCTACCTTGATGCATCAAGCACCAGCTGGCCGCCGCATTCGCATTGGGTTACACCCAGCTGAATGAGTGAGTGCTCACAAGTCGGGTGCGTACAGTCGTTACAGCCAGAGGCTACGGTCAAGAACGTCAAACAAAAAAATATTAAAGCCTGCTCCCACTGCAAACGGCCAAGGCAAAGCTTGTGCGCAACTCGACGCGCACCTTTGTCCATGTCTTCAAACGGTGGGTTGTTGTAACAGTAGGGGCAAAGCGGGTATGCGCGACCCGTGGTGCCCGTTGTGAACATGAGCAGCTGGGGATCCGGTTGATGCCACCAGGCCAACGTCAGAAAGGTTGATTCGCGTGCAAGAGCTGTGCGAGGAGCCTTGCAATTGGCGTATAGGGCGGGAATGGTATCACCTCAAATTTGTCCAGTGGACAGCGAAGCTCCTTGTACAACACAATCTTGCCGCCTTGTGGCAGGGCAAAAGTCTCATCGCACGTAGGGCAATACAGTCGTTGTGGCTTGGCCGACACGTACCTGGTAACAAAGCCATGCAAAACAAATGAGCCCACACACAAAAACAAAGTTGCAAGAAAAGGCTGCCAAAAAAGGCCCCAAGGCGCACTCTGACGATCGCACTCGACCCGCAAGAAGAAAAGTCGTACTTCATGTAACGGTTGCACTTGCCGCAGCGCGAGAGCTGCTTGCCCGTGCTCTTGAGTGGGGTGAACGTCACCTCAAACAGCTGATCCATGTTGCTGATAAAGGCCTCAAAGAATTCAAACTTGCGTTGAAACAAGAGTTTGAAGTGCGCCAGAACATCATCAAAGGGAGCCTGACCCTTTGCGATGAGGTCCAGCTACAAATGTTCCCGAAACGAGCGCACGTGTGGTGAGATTTGCATCTGCAACAGAGGACACACAAAAGAAGGGTCGTGTGGCTCGTCGGTGCTGTCCTCAGACACCCACACGCCTGCGCACTTTTCTGCATGACAGCCGAGACTCTGCTTTGCAATCTAGTCGAGAGAAGGCCTGCATCATACCTGCTTTTCGACGGCTGCTCGCATGGTAGGCAAGCACAAATCTGGGTCGATGGTCTTGTATCCGTGAATCTAATGTGTCTCCACGGCACAAGCCCGTCGTGGCGAGTCAGCTCAAAGCAACACATCATGGCGGTAGCTGAAATAGAGCTTGTCGTCAGCACGCACCATCACAATGCCCAAGTTGGTAGGGACGAGCGTTCGGCCCGCTTGAATCTAGATCCGAAACCAGACAGGAAGGCACCATGAGCAGCCGTGGTGCACACGCGTACAAAGCGAGACCTTGTAGTCGGCAGAGGATGGCCAACCTGAACATAATTGCGTTCGCAAATGTTGTTAATGTGCACGGGAATGGACGCGTCCGTGCCGATGCCATGCTTTTCCATTAAAGAGATGAGGTCACTCTGCAGTCCAACACCAAAGCCGAACCGAGACGTATCAGAGGAGTGTCAAGCCGGCAATCGAGTCGATTGCGCGCGAGCAACCAAACACATTGGTAGACTTGCCTCGGTCAAATAGCCGGGAGGTGAGGTGAGGCGGTCCACCAGTGTTGCTGATTTGATGCGCAAGGTGGCGCCTTCGGGCAGCGAAGGCACCGTCTGCTGCTCAGCAGACCCCTATCATCAGATCAATGTCGCCGTGTTTGTTGCGCAGCAATCGTGAGGCTGTCGAATACAACGTTTCGGGCCGGGCACACTGCTTGAGATCCCAGCAGACACCAGCAGAGACGTCAGGAAAACGGACCACCCAGTGCATGACAGCCGTGAAGCCGGGTGAAAGCGTGCGCGAGCCTTGGATGGTAAACACCTCACCACCCGCATCCAGCACAATTGTGGTAGTCAAATATCTGATGCACACCAAAAACGCAGAAAGAGACGCTTGGTGAGCTCCATCAAGACGCTGGCAGGTTTTGGTAACCACAAGCGCCGGGGCTGTCCGAATATAAATGCCAACGCATGCGACGTGGCCGGGTCAAAAGAGCGTACTTGCAGTCAGGGCTTAGGGTGGCAATAAAGTGGCGCGTCACCAGGTCATACACGCGCCAGTCATCTCCCCCTAGGTCACTCTCCTGCGCTACCCGCATGGGCGTGATAGGGGGGTGATCGCCTATTGGGATGAGTAGGAGCACAGAGAAGCAGGACTCGCATTAGGTCGACCGCAGGGCTTGAACGGGGCTGCGGTAGAGTCATTAGGCCGGCATGATCAGAATTCCAAGCGTACCAACGTCTTTGCCACCCTTGGGTTGAACCATGGCTCCCGCCAACAGCTCTTTGACCTATGGAGGCCAGTCAAACGATAAGCGCCATCAACGGCAATAGATGGTGGGGAGTGGGTACAAACGTGGCGCGAAGAAAAAAGGGTTGCTGTGTCGGCACGGCAGCGAACCTCTTTGCCCCAGTTGGGTGAGTTTTGCTGTTCCTTCAAGACGCTAACGAGATCAAAGTTCTCTGGATAAGCTGTCGTCTCAGTGCGAGGATAGCTGATGTATCCCTAAGATGACCGCACAGACGCCTTGTGTCAGACTAACAAAAAATAGCCAGGGTACGGCTCACCAACTCTTGGCCAGCCGCGCATGGCCGTTGGTGCGAGGTAGCCGTTGGTGTGCGGCTAGCTGGTTTAAAAACAAGCGTACCTGCATATAGAGTCGCTCAGCAATGGCCATGGCGTACTGTGGCCCCATGCCTGAAAATACACAAAATGAGTGGGATGAAGAACAGCATCTTGTCTGCGCAATCGACAACGATAGAGGTGCGTTTATCAAGCATACCAAGGCCAGCACTGCAAACGCGCATGAGTTCGACGGTGTTGAGAGCATTTGGGCGTGGCTTTTTCTTTTCTTTCTCAGAGACACTGACAACGCGCGCCGAAGAAGCCTCTTGGACACGGTTGGTGAAAACACGGCCAAGTTCTTGATCAAAGACGCGCACTCGTTCCCACTGCGCCCGCAAGAACCCTGAATCGTGCTCGAGCTGCAAGTCGATGGTCCAGTATCGCTCGGGCGTAAACGTCTGGGGATGAACGGAAACGTTAGACCGGCGCAGTTTACTATGAATTGTAGAGCAGAGCGGTCTGTGCAACGTGCGAGCGCACCTGGATCAAGTCATGGCGCTCAACGCAAAATGCAAGAGTCGGCGTTTGGCAGGGGCCAAATGAGACGAGGGTGGAATCCAAGTCACCATACTTGCCCTGTGATCACGGATGCTTGTGAGCAATGCAAGATCAACGTGGGTGTTGACCCAGCCCGATGACCGCGAACGAAGCCTCCGACCTGGAAGAAGCGGGTTTGGAAGCGGGTGAATGCACACCCCATGCGAAGATCGAGCTCTTGACGCGCGTCCACGGCCAAGGATTCGTTCTCATTGGGAGCGACCAAGGTCCGCATGGCCGCTTTGATGTCCTTCTCCGTGATGGCCGAGAACTGCGAGGGGTCCGTGGGTGGGTGAACCGTGCCAAAAGCACAGAGGAGTTGAAAGTCGTCAATATGAGCTCCTTTACACTGGAGCACTTGGTACCGCATACTGGGACCTATGACGAGCTTGACCCCTAACCTTGGCTCGGAACACAGTTTGACCGCGAACCGAACGGTTCATGACAGGCAGTACAATGTCCATAACCTCGAAGCAAATGTTCTCGCCCTCGCGATCGCAATCAAGCCACAGCACCAGGTAATCCACACCTGTGGCCCCATGTTGGTCGGATGACGTTAGGCATCGTTGTGAGGCATGCTCCTTGTACCACAACCGATCGATTCGTGTGAAGCATCCCACCAAGGGGACCACTGGCATGCCAAAGCGCACCTTTGCCCTCGGAGCGCAGAGCCTCACGAACGTGAGCCTTGGGATTGGCGTCCTTTTTCTCGGTCTCAGCATCAAACAGCTCGCGCGGTGGGGTTCTTTCCCCTGGAACAAGCCGAGCCGCCAACAAAAAACGGATGTCACTGCTGCAGAGTGGGGCAGCAGGAGGAGGAGGGTACGGTGATGGGGGGGGGGGGGGTGGCGGGATGACACGTACAATTGTTGTATTGAGGTAGAAAGTCAAGGGACATGACGTGGCCCATCACTGAGGTAAACTTGAACTGAGCCTGTGGGCAAACCGGGCCGGGCCTGAGTGACTCGCCCGCTGCTGCGCAAAGCCAGTGCTGGTCGGCCAGTCGTCGATTCCAGTGGTTTGCATGACATACCTGCTGGCCCATAAAGTCGCCAGAGTACTCATGAACGGTACAGCTCTTGGAGCGACTAGGGCGACTCGTGGCAGAGTGGTTTGAAAGGATCCCTGCGCAATGGCGCAATGGCGCAATGGAGACGCCCGTTTGAGAACGCGGACAAGCTGGGCAGGATATCGAGCCCTCGCCCTTGGTCAAGCTCACACACACACACACACACACACACAGAAGCTAGCCGCCAGACCCTCACGCCAGTCCAAGCTGCCGTTGCAAGAGAAGTAGCTTACATGCCAGTGACTTGGCCAAACTGGGCTTTTCCGCCACCATCAGAACGGTTGGTCCCGTCATGGTGCCTGGTTCCCCCACCGCCAGTGGCCCAGCTTCGTGGCTGCGCGGGTAAATACTTCAACAACTCTTATCTGATCTGCATGTACTGGCAACATATACGTTAATGATTAAAGAGTGCTGCTACTCAAACTGCTTGATTGGCTACATTATCCAATGAAGTACCTGACTGAGAAGCTGAGCTCTCTTTTGCACACAAATTTTTTTCTCTCTCTCTTTCTGTCTCTCATGTGGTAGTTGTGCTATTCCGTTGTGTCTTGGCTGCTTATACCTTTTTCTCTCTTTCTCGAACCAATTCATTCTCTCTCTCTCTTTCGTGCTATTTCTTTATGCCTATGTTGTTATGCTATTCACACACACACCCTCTCTCTCTCTTTCTCTTACGGTTATGGTTTTTTCTTTCTCTCTCTTCTCTCTCACTTTTCACTTACAAACAGGGACCACATTGCACTACGTAGGGCACTCACTGGGTGGCAAAGCAAAGCAAGGCGGGGGCGGCCCCGGCGTTGAAGGGGTCGAGGAGCAGGCAGGCTGTTTGCTTGATTGGTCCAGGGGAGGGGGTGGGGGTGGGGAGGCAGGGCACCGCACCGAGGGCACCACTCTTCCTGATGACTTTTGGTGAATGCATGGGCTAGGGCACCTCGCAGCATGTCGGACACGCCCTTGGTCTGCCTGTTCTTGGCACTGGTCTTGATCTATGTGCCTTCGACCATCAAGGCCATCTGGATCAATCGTAATGTGGACGGTGGAGTAAACAACATTCATCCACGCAAGCAGTTGGTACGTGCCGGTTGTGGCTCGATGCAGACAAGCACACTCATTCGAAACGGGCCTTGACCAGGCTCTGCCCATGGTGGGACACCCACCAAGTGTCTTTAAGTCTTTGTTCACGCATCGCTGGCTGCAATCCACTGGCATAGGATCTGCTGGCAAGCTGGGGTCTGCGTGCTTACGGCGCGCACCAGGTCGGTGGCGTTTTGTGAGCGCACGTGGGCAAGGTGTAGTAATGAACACGCCGCGGTCTTGAGCCAGTGTCCCGCGCTATCACGCATTGATCCTTACCCTGCGTTGTGTGCTAGAACTCGCTCGAGACCTTTCCAGCGTTTGTGGCTGGCATCTACGCCGCTCAAGTACAGAACGCAGACGAGACGGCCACCGATGTCCTGTGCATCCTCTTTGTCGTCTTCCGTGTCCTCTACATTATTGTATACTTGATCAACACCAACGCCTGCATGGCCGCCCTGCGCACCATTCTCTTCGTTCTCAGCATGGCCTGCGTTATTGGCCTCTTCATTGCCGGCTTTGTCCAGTGATCAAGCTTTTCCCCCAAGCATACCCGCAAGTTGCGGGAGAAGAACGCTTGCCTTGGCCATTGAGCCCTGCCTGAGTTGAAACCCCATGCATGTTATTCACATGTCAATTCATGTTGAGCATAGACGCGAGATTTTGTCTCAATTGTTGACCAAGTCGTGCATTGCTGTCATTAGAACACGACTTGGTGGGGAGGGGGGATGATACTATCTGCAGCGTTGGAATATACACAAGACGACCAGGCGGTCTTTATGAGCCTGACAAAACAATGACAGCAAGATGCGCTCGAGGAAGAGACGCGCCGAGAAACAAGCGGTCTGCAGGCGAGCCCAAACTAAGAAGCCAGCCAGCTAGCTGCACGATTAGACCGCCGTGTGCTAGGACCAGCGTACATATGGGAGGACAGCTGCCTGTCAAAGGTACAAATACAAGAAAATGTACGAAGGGAATGCAAGCATGTCCAGAAAGGCGATTGGCAAGACCAAACCCAAGCGTAGGAGGACTGGGGTGAGGGGGGGAAAATGTTTCATTCGATCCTTGAACAAGCCATCACAACGCCAACGTCTGGAGGCCTGCGGTAAGTAGGCCACCAAAACACTGGCTTTCCTTGAGGAAGGAGGCACCAAGCATCGGCTTTAGATCATCAAAGTTGAGGATGGCTCGGTTGACTTAGGCACGCCAGCTGAAGGTAATTGAAGGCATTCTCGCGCTAACAGGCCGTGCCAGGGCAATGTCGAGTAAGCTGATGGGTATGAAGCGGAGAAGAAGGAGGAAATTACATGATCTCCAACCTACAAACCTCAGATTGCGAACGAAATTCTAAAAGCTCGAGGGTTAAGCGTTGTTCGGCATCACGAACCACCAAAGCGATCAAGCAGTTTTGAATGCGATAAAATTGCTGGCATGGAAGTGCATTCATCAGAGCAAAAGGAGTCGCATGAGAAGCAAGCAGAGCGAATGTCCCGGCAAAGGACCAGAGAGGTGAAAGCTGTCGTTGGTACAGACAGTGGGAGATGGTGCATACCCAGAGGCGCGTCAAGGAAACCGAAAAGAGGACGTTCTTCTCCTTGCTGTCAAACCCGCCTAGTTGCGAGAGGGTGACAGAGGTGGAGCCCGGAGAAACACCCAACGGTCCGATCATCAGATTACAATAGTGCCTGTGGTCACAAGGTGGGTCAATCGGTGAGCTGTAGCGGGAAAGTGCGCTTGCTCGCCCATGTCTCGGGTTGGCGCCGTGTTGGGATTGAGCGGGAACAGACCGTGTTTTCCGCGGGAACCAGGCTTTGAGGCAATGAATGGCATGCTGAAGGACGCGAATGCCCACAGTCTTGGCGTCAAGGTCGCGGCGCAAGCGGCGTGGTCGATAACGCCGACACTTGTGGAGGTCTTGGATGGCCGATCGACAAAGAGGACAGGTGTTGTGATCTTCCATCCAGGCATCCAGGCAATCTTCGTGAAAATTGTGCCCGCATGCCAAGCCCAATCCCTGTGCCTCTCGGGTTGGACTATGGGGCCGAAGCGGATCGGGAGTAAGATAATGTTGTGAGGGAATACGCAAGGGATTGAGGGGTGGGATGCGACGCCTGGGTGGTCAAGACAGCTGGCAAGGCACGCACTCAATACAGATGGGGCAGCTCGTGAGGGTGAGACTGGTGGGTGGTGCCAGAAAAAGAGCGTCCATGGTGTGCAGATGGGCCAGGCCCGTGCGACTGGCCACTGCAGGAAGCAAACAAGAGATGGTGAGAATGCGTCGAGAAGTAGTGAAAGCCGGCGCAATGCGAGGTCGCAAGAAAGTGCGCACCAACAAGAGCACCAAGAACTGGAGGGGGAGAAGAAAGAAACTCAAGGCTGCCCTCGTCGGCTCGAGTTGGACGTTTTGTGGGTAAGGGAAAGGGAGGAGGCAGGGGAGGGGGCCGATCGGGTCGGAACCCCGCCCAAATGTTCCTTGCCCGGGCGCACGGAAACAAAAGGGCGTCCTACGCCCGATGACGCCAAGCGAGAGGCAGCACATGAGAACCGGATCATGAGCAATGGCCGTCTGCCTGCCCCATGACCCAAGAGCCAACAATGGAGAGGAGGTGCAATCTGTCGTGGGGAGAGCACAAAAAGAGAAAGCGCCGAGCGATCACAACGACGGAATGGATTCAAAGCCAAACACCGTTGAGGTGGATTGAAAAGGCGCGCAATGTGGCAGTCGAGTACACAGGAAATGAACAGAAGGCCATCAGAAAACACATTGAAGAGGAGCGCGACACGGATGATTAGGGCGGGCAGCTGCGTCGGAAGAACCGCAGGGAAGGGGGCGTCCTGTTCCTCGACGTTGAGAACACACAATGGCATCGCCCTTTGAAGAAACACCCACGACCATGGTGTGCGCGCAGCTCTGCGCTGGGGACCCCAGACAAACCTGAATAGCGTGCACCTTCCGGATCCAAGGAGTAACACCTGCCGCCGCGACCCCAACAGCAGCAGCAGCAGCAGCAGCAGCAGCAGCGAGTGCAGCGACCCGGCGACCCCGATACCAGCGTCGCGACGACAGTCGAATGCGACAGACAGAGAGAGAGAGTGAGCGCAGCGATCGCAACAGGGTGTGTGGGACAGAGAGACAGAGACAGAGACAGAGACAGAGACAGAGACAGAGACAGAGACAGAGACAGAGACAGAGACAGAGACAGAGACAGAGATAAAGTCAGAGATAAAGACAGACAGAGCTGAGTTTGGTTCAAAAGCAAAGCCAGTAGATGTATAGAGTCAGAGATTATGACAGTACCAGTGGCAGAGAATAGAGACAGCGACAGAAGAGGTAAGAGAGAGAGAGTTGTCAAGCAAAACGAGTAAAACACAAGGAGACACAAATAAATCAAAGCAGTGAACGGCGTGGTTCGGAGTCCTCTCATGAAGAATCCAAAAGAAAAAAAAACTTTCGTAGAGGAAGTAACTACTTGTGGTAAAGTTTGTGGCTTGAAATTGGTCAGCGCGCCGCCATCTGATGATGTCTGATGTCTGATCTCGGGCGGTAAGAAACCACCTTGCTACTGGTAAAGTCATGGGCAGAGCATCACTGTAATTCCAGCAGCGGCTTTTGGCCAGATCTCTGTCCAAGACAGCCATGCCTTGCATGTTTGTGTCGCTGATTGGTTTCCACTCGGTGGCTATCTCGACACAGGTCTCGTACAGTTCGTAGCACCGCCATCCCTCATCAATTGCACTGGCACCGGTCAAAGGAATTGGCAGGAGAAGAAGATCATTTGCACGCACTCTAGTTGGAGGCGAGGAACCGCTCCTCTTTCAGCCGTCGCTCGTGATAGAGCACGCGTGCAGCCTTGAATTGTTTAACAAAGTCCTCTACGGGCAAGTCCTCGTTGCGAAACTGGCTCACCAAGTCCTCGCTGGCTTCCTCGGCTTCACTCTGCTTCACCTTGAGCGCCGCGACCAAACCTTGCCGATCATATTGCTGTGCCAAGTCATTCATCATATGCGCGCCGCATGAGCACGCGTGAAGCAAAAAAAACAAGGGGCAAGAAGCCAATGGTAAAATCACGCAAGCAAACATGGCTGGCCTCGTACCGAAGACAACTCAGTGTAGCGAGCGAGTTTGGTGGCCAAAGATTGATCCAGCTCAGCCAACTGCTGCGTCAACGCCTTGACCTCACTCTTCAACCGGTTCAGCTCAGGCTCGTGCTTCATGTTGGCCTCTAGCAAATGTGCACGTGCAGCAGCATAAGAATTTTGACGCCCACGCTCCAAACAGCTTCAAAAGAAATGCAGATTTCCTCGACAAGCGGGCCCAAGCGAGCAGACAGAAAGCTGGCGAGGTTCACGCACCTGCCAATCGAGTCCGCTCCTGGCGCAAGAACTCAACGCGCTCCCGGATCACTTGGAGGTGTGTCAGGTTTGCGACAAAGGATCGCACCTTGGGCATGGACTCGGCCATCTCTGTCAGCTCATCCGTGCTGCACCACGCCCATGCACGCCAAGGCAAGTCAGCATAGACGAAGAGTTAGCATCAGTCTCTGCAAACATGCACATGAAACACCCCCCGTGCCCTTGTCCGGCATCTACGACCCGACAAGCTGCTGCTGCAGACCAACCTCATATCCTGCATAAAGCCCGCAATGGTGGCGCGGTCAAGCTCGGGAAGATCCGCGTTACTCAGAGTCACCTCGGTGGGCGCCGGTGTTGAAACAGAGCTTGGTACCCCTTGACTAGATGATGTCGTACTCATACCCAAGTCTGACGTCGGTTGCACGGCCTGATGGTATGGAACGGCGGGGGGTCCACCGTTGCCTGCGGTCGCATAAGGATTGGGTGCGCCATATGCCGGCTGTGTGGATGGCATTCCATATTGGCCAGCACCACGGGCACTTCCAACATCGCCAGGACTACAAGAAAATACGCATGCCAGGCAATTGCATATGCATCGTGAATGGCAAACCATTTCCAGGGTCTCGGCAATTTACACAGATGGATGAGAGAAGAGAACGCTGGAGGGCCGTTCGCCTCGCGTCAAGTTACCAAGCCTCGAAAGAGCGCAATTGCAACCGGGAAAGAAGCAATTCCAAAACGAAAACTGGCCAGGACAACGTACAAAGAGGGCGGGTTGCGAATCAAATGATCCACTGTTTGCTCGACCACCTTGGCCAAGCTTGAATGAGCTTTCCACTGATGACGATTGATCAAAACCCCACGGCATGTGAAAGCAAGCATGAAAGAGTCAGTGGCCCAAGATGCAACCCCACAACCGCGTCAGCCATCCGAGTTGTATGCCAACGGCCCCGCGTGCGATTCCACGAGCGCCGACTCGTACCGACTGCAGTGCTTCAATGCCACACACTTGGCCCGAGGCGTTGAGAACGGGGTGGTGGCAATTGGGCGTGATGGTCAGAACGGGCTGCATCTGTGGAAAATTCAGCGGCAGCTTACTACACGAACAGAGCCAACACCACCGCCACACAAGCATGAGGGCCAACGTGCATAAGTCACAGGGCCACGTCACTGAGAAACACATCACCCCGTCCCCGCCCCCAAGCCAACCGCCTCGAACGCGAGATGGCATCCCATGATGGGAGTACACAGTCCCGCATTGAGTCAAAAGCAAGGTCATGGCCCCCAGCGGTGCCAAAGGCCACGCACGTCAGGACGCGTCTCGAGGGCGTCACTTGATGACTTACATGTGTAGCAGGACAGGTCGGCCGTTGGCGGTGAAGGGCACCTCGTACTCGGCGTTTGTGATTTTAGTCGAGACGCTACCAGAGGCAAGGCCAGATGTGGGTTGAACAGATGAGCCAACCCAGGCATGGGTCAATCGGGCCGACAGGGCGCGTCAAAAAGTACAACGTGGGGGCCTGTGCAGCCAGAGCTCCGTACCCGCCCGGCAGATTGGCCATGAGTAGTCCATCGATTTGGCGGCTGCGCAATGAAGAAAGATCCATCGAAGGCGGCGGCGCCGCAGCCGGCGCTCGCGAGAACCAAGCCATGCCACCCCTTGTCCGTTCCAAAAGCCGCGCTGACCCCTCCGCGCCACCCGCCGCCACCAACCAACAAGCGCCACCAGACGATGATCACACTTTTCCCGACGAACAAACAGTTGATAGATGTATAACAGGCAAAAACCGCAAAATGCTTCTCTCTCTCTCTCTCAAACAAACTCTAACTCTCTCAAACTCTCTCTCTCAAACTCTCAATCAAACTCTCAACTCTCAAACTCTCTCTGGCTCTCTCTCCTTCTTCACCTCCCTACCTCTCATCTCTGAAACCTCTCTCAAACTCTCAAACCTCTCTCTCAAACTCTCTCTCTCAAATCTCTCTCTCAAATCTCTCTCTCAAATCTCTCACAAATTTTCAAATCGAGTCTCACGAGGGGTAGAGGAGGAGGAGGGGGCTTGTTGGAGTTGATGGTCTGCTTGGTCGGTGTGGGGGCTTGGTCCTGGTCTGGCTTGGCTTGATTTGGTGGCCTGAGGGTGGCTGGTGGGTGGTGGAACGGGAGGGTATCAGTACTTGCCGTCATGGCTTTGCGGCGCACGCTACAATGCTTGCGTGCTGCTACCGGCATCTCCGCCTCGGGTGCAGCCAAGGCCCCGACAGTCCCGACGCCAGCCAGCAGCTCCCCGTTTAATATTCAATTGGTCCGCGAGATGTACAAACACGGTCACCTCGGTGCAGCATGGTCTGCCGCCCGCCAAGCCTATCGCCATCGCTCCCAACGCGCTGCCGAGTACGCTGACCGACCAAATGCTTGAAATTCCCCCCGGCAAAACTCAGCGCAAAACTCATTCGCTCCCATGGCCTCCTCCATCAACTCATCCAGATGGCTAGAAGCCATGCAGAAACTGTACTTGGAAATGACTGGCACACGCGATTTGGCGGAGAAACGCCAGATCGTTGCCAACCGGTTTGAGAACCTGAAGCGGCTGCAGCTCAAACACGACCACGTTCGTCCGCCAATGGCCCTTGCTCTTGCGCTAAGTCTGCTTCTTGCTGCTCGATGTTCGATTTGTTTGTGGAGCGGGGGTCACTTTCCAGCTCGGCTTGTTGCCTCAATTCCGGCAAACCCCCATGCGGCACCCCTGGCGCCTCTCTTGACGACTCTAGGCCAAGGTTCGCTTCGAGGAAGCCAAGCGTGAAGCTCACTTGCGCGAGAAGCAGATGAACGATGAGATACGCTACGAAGAGAAACTCGGCCGCCGGTTCGTCGAGCATTTTGTCTGTGATCGCTGCCCATGGCCACGCATGCGATGGGCCTCTCGTCTTTCCTCATCCTCGCACTCCCGCCCCATCCCGCAGATCGCGGGAAGAACTGCGACAACTCATGGCTGAGCGCCATGATGCCTTTCTCAACTCGAAAGAAGTACAAGGCGAGAAGGTTGCTGAGCGCCAAGTCTCTGAATGCTGGAGTGAGGTTTGTTTGCCATGCACCTGCTCCAAACCCCCGACGACGACGACGACGACGACGACGACGACCCCATCACTTTGCTGACCTTGGCGCAACCAGACCCTGAGGACGTGTCACCAGTGGTTGCAGCTCACACTGACTTGCTGCGCTGCTTTGCTTGTGTTTTCGTGCTGCCTGTTGGCCTGTTGGTGATGGCAGTATGAGGAAGCAACCCGCAACTACGTTGATGCTCTCAATGCCCAACATCAAGCCGAAAACTTTTGGACGGCCGCCTACCGCGTTTTGGTTCGTCTTATCCTCCACTGCCCATCATTGGGCTTCTTCCCCTCTCATCGGCCCTTCGCTCCCCACCTTTTCTTTGTGCATACCATTATGCCCTCTGCCCAACGCATTCACATCCCACTAGACGACGTACTCGGCCATGATAACCATCACGGGTACCGTTCTGGGTATTCTTTCCGTCATCTTTATCACACCTTGGCGTACCATGTATCACATCAACACGGCCCTTGCCACAACTCGCGAGCAGCTCATCGCTGATCTTGACAGCGTTCTAGCCGAACACCAGCTCAACTCAACTCCTGCCCAGGTCATCACGGTCCCAGCGCAAGCAGAACAGCCCTTGCCTGACGACCCTGCACCCAAAGTCGTGTCACAACCAATCCTGCAGCCCATTGGCTCTCCTGTCACTCCGACTGAGGTATTTAGATTTTATATAGCTGGCTTGCAGCAGTTGGGTCATCATATTCTCGAAAGCTGTCATGCTTCAGATCCCCAAGTCTTACACTTTGGAATGGGTTTGATCTCCGGCGTTGCTTTGAGCCTCGTCTATGGCTGGTGCTTTTCCTAATCTTGCCTACACCAGCAGCAGGCAAGATGGCAAGCAAGGAGATGAAAGTTTGACCTGCTCGTGCTGCCGGTCTCGTGGACGAACGGTGCACTGACAGTGGCAGGACAGGAGAGAGATGATGGGAAGAGCTCTTGTATCAGTGTTTGCTTCCTTTATCAATTCGATTAGCTGAACATGGGTGCCGACACCATCGTGAAGAGGCCATAGAGAAGAGAGTTGTCCAGAAAGAGAGCACGATCAAGCAGGGCAGGCTGAAGTAGGCGGCCCTCTGGGCCTCAATCAGACTGGAGAGTGGTTTGCGCAAACTGTGCAGCAATGGGCTTGACACTGGGAGCATCCACCTCATCGCACGTGGGGACACTACTTGCGGTCGAGGCTTGTCGGGACGCTTGAAACTCAACGGCATCAAAATCGAGCGTGATCTCACTACACAGGGGGGTGTGCTGACGGCAGTGGACTTTGGCCAGTGCAAAGAGTCGCCGAGCTGCCTGATACTCGGGCCGCTCCGCATACTACACATGTCCACCAGTGCGCACGCCGCTGGCATGAGCACAGACAACTTGACCTGGCAAAGGCTTTTGAGGTCGCGAACTGAGCAGGCTTGCACAAATACCCACCCGGTCAACGGTGTAGAGGACTTCCGTGATACCGGCCTGAATGATGAGCTTGGCACTTTCGCTGTTGGGAAAGAACGCAGTGTACCTATTGTGCGAGGAATGAAGAGAAGATGAACCACAGAGGGCGTTCCCCGTGACACTGGCAGCTGCAAGTAATACCTACATGCGACAGCCCCGCAAGCTGGCTGAGTTTTTGTTCAAGATGGCATTCATCTCGGCATTGCATACATACTAGCACGTGAGGACCAGCGCGTGGTGGAGATGAGCGCACATTGGTGTGACAAGCCAATCTCGTCATGCCCACATGCATGACATCTGACCGGGTACTTGGTGTCGAGGACCGAGGGGCCCTCGCGTGCCCATGGCAGGGCATCATCGTCGCAGCCCCGCGGCATCCCGTTGTAACCAATGCCAACAATCTTATTCGCCGCGTTTACAATGCAACTTCCGATTTGTGTGCTGCGTGTTACCGTCGTGGAATGGCCGCGTGAGGCGCAAGCAAGGCAACCTGCCGCAAATCGCTGACTTGGCAAGCCGGGGCGCGTGTGCTTACTTGGGGTCCTTGCTGCGCTTGGCGCTGAGAAAGGCGACCGCCATAAAGTAGTCATCCCAAGGTAGATAATCTTCACGCCCCCCGCCTCCACCATGCCCCTCCCTTTGAGGCTGGACCTCATCTCGAGTTGCGCTGCTCATTTCCTTGGTGCTCGTGTGCGCCGCGCGCGAGCACAAGCGCCAGCGCGCTTTGTGGACCAAAAGGTGTAACGGTCACAAAACAAAATGAATGAAAAAAAAAACTTTTTTGGTATTGATTTATTTGTTGAGTTCGTGTGATGCACCAGCCATCTCAGCCTTCCGCCTTCTCCTCCAAGTCATCAAAGTGGCTTTTGGCCATCTACTTTGGCATGGTGCCGGGTCACTTTCACCACCTGGGGTCTGTTGGCAGAGCTGCTGCTAGTGACCTTGGTGACAAAGATCACTGGAGCGTGAGATTGGGTATGTACATGTTGCTGGCCATATGCTCCTTAAGGTAATCGGGACCATACTCTTCGTATTCGGCCTTGGTCATACAAACTTTATCCGGCACTTGCCGCATGAGCCGGCATGCACCACGAAACGCATCGTCGTCTGGATCCTGGGCGGTCCACACCTGGCGAGAGCGAGCAGGAAGCAGCAGTGACCAGACCACCTGCAGCCGAAGGCGCCATGCAGATGGTAACAGGCAGCAGCACATACCTTGACCACAGAGCGAAATGGACGCAAGCTTGTGAGCTCTGTCTGTACCCGCTCGGCCATGCCTGCAAACTTGGACATGCCTCCCGTCAAGAAGACATTCTACTCAAACCCAGGCCCAGCCCAAGAACATGCCAAGTCAACAGATGACCATGGTCCAGCATGCCCGCACGAGAAGCGCAAGGCTTCGACCAAAAACAAAAATGGCTCCGCCACCCGCGGTTCACCTAGACTTGTCAAGCACGACACGCACCTCCGCCATGGCCGATGCCATGTCTGGCTCCGAATCACCAAAGACAAACCCCATTCCATCAATCAAACCGGATTGGTCAATGCCCGCGATCGGCGGCTCAAAAATGGCTTCGGGTATTTGCACGCGCTCCACTGCCAATGCAAACTGGAGCGCCAAGCGTGCACTCTCTATCATCTGCTCTCGCGTTTCAGGATGTTCTCGTGCGTACTGGGTACGCATGTCTTCGAGCTGCGCCTCAAGCGTCATGATACGCTCGTCCATCTCAGCCTCCTCATCCCCAGTATGTTTTTGGTTGATGCGAGCGTACACGGCCCAGTCCTCATCATCGGCTCCAAAGTCATCATCCTCCGTCTCTTTGTTGCGTGTTGGTTTGGCCCCACGCATGGTTCGGCTTCGCTTATTCGGCTTCGTCCCCTCGCTCTGCTGCACCAAAAGTCGCATCTGCTTCTTGGCTGCTTCTGAACGTCGATCCCGCAGCTCGGAGCTAAACGTGCGCGCACACACACGCACACGTACACGAGGCCACATGCCAACACCCATACCAAACATGAGGACGCTGACGATGAGAACAAGAGTTGATGCCTCATGGAAACCGGAAGATCTGACGAATCTCAACAAGCAGAACCAACCGCATCTTCTTGCGCCGGTCGCGATCGGCCCGAAGCGAATCCACTTCAGCCTGCACTTTCTCAATCTCCTCGATGGTCAAGGGTGTGTCCTGTTTATTCTCATCGGGCATCTACAAACGAAAGCCGATTCAGGACATTCATCAACGGAAGCGTAGGAGCAGTGGAAGATTGACAACTCGACACAGATGGACTGTGGGATCAAAGGAAACCTACATCTTTGCCCGCGGCAATTCGATTGGCTCGGGCGTCATCCACGAGCAGCTGAAGGCCCTGTGTGATCAACCAAAGGCAAGAGATGAGAGGTTTTGCATCAGCTAATCAGCTTGGGGTGATTGCAGGAATACCCAACAGCGTTTATCAGCTACGCACGTGAATGTACTGCACTTCGATACGCCGAGCTTTTTGCTGCTCGGTGAGCGTTTCGTCGCTTTCAGCATCAAGCAGAGCTTGGTCATCCTAAGACGCAACGTAGTCTTTAGTTGCTCCAAAAGACGAAAAAGGGCGCACCCGAGTGGATGATTCACTCTTCTCGAGACGATCGCACCAACCTCGGAGTAGAACACTGGAGGACGAAAGTCAGGCTCAACTTGTTGAACACGTGCCCGAAGCTTGGAGCCTTGAAAGTCCACAGTTTCCAACTCATTGGCAAAGGCTTGATCGCTACTGTACCCAGCCTGAGTCAGAATCTCAGCGCGGTCCTCTGGTTGAGCCGCCGCCAAGGTCCCCATCAGATCCAAGCCCTCTTGTAGCTTTTGATCTTTTCCGGCCAGCTAGAACGAGCGACACCATGAACATGAGCTGCTTGGTCGCGGGCGCGGCTGGGACCTAGCCAGTACTGTCGGAATTCTGAGCTGCCACTGGTACCAACGCAAAACGTACCAACGACTCGGCACGGCGCAGCTGCATATCCCGCATTCGCTGAGCTGCCACTTCACGCTTGCGGGCGCGCTCATCAAGCTGCTCCTGTGTTGGGATGGTCTATGGAATGGATTTGGCACATCAACATCAGCGACAGCGGTGACCGCACGCTCTCCTCGAGCGGGAACAGTATCAAAGTCACTTTGGGGTCAAAGGGGGAGGGCAAGAGGACAAAAGGAGACAAGGAGGAAGGAAATGGCGACACGCAACGACGCCACAGAGCAGTGGCTAGAGACATACCGAGAGGTCGACGGGTAACTGGAAGCGCTGGAGCAGCTCTGTCACGTGAGCCGGATCCTCGAGTTGGCGTAGGGTATCCTTGTAATTTGGAGCCACGCGGGAAAAACGATGCACAATGGTTTCGATGACGTTGGAATTCAGCTCGGGGACGAGATGTGGGTGCCGAGCACCCAAGATGGCGCGACCGTAGGTTTGAATATGGGCACCTCCGACGTCAATGCGGCGAGCCTTGCGAGCTTGCAGGCGTTGGTCGTATACAGGCAAAAGGGTGGTGCCACTGTAGCCCAGATTGGCGACGAGGCCAGCCCGTGCGTCTGGGCGATTGTAGTAAAAGCTGCAGAGTCCGTCGAGCCCGTAACCAACAGAAGGTGCTCCATACAACTCAAACAACAGCTCGGATAGGCCTAGCCATGCGGGCAGGTACGTTAGATGGGACAGCAACCGGAGGCATGAAACCGACAACCAGGTGACCTCAACCAGGGGGACTCTCAACCGAGTGTGGAGGCACTTACGAGCTCGCAGTAGCGCAGGATTGCAGAGGGGCTCGGTCACAAAGATGGGGTGGGCCACGGACGTTTCCTTGATGCCCAGGCAAGAGAAGGCGTGGTCGAGAAGTAGCTCCTCTGTTTCCCAGCTAACAACTAAACCATTCTCGTTGTTGGGGCGAGTCAGGTTGCGACCTTTGATATGGTAGAGTGCATCATTTCCTGCATACATGGGGGCGTTCTGGGAACAAGAGGCAAGGCGGGGGGGGCGGTCAACACGGCGAGTGGGTGGGGGGCAAAGAGTGAGTCTTTCGTGGGCGCGGGGGCATGCAATACCTTTTGGCGATTTTTGCCAGCCAAGGGGGGAAAGCGTAAGCGCGGGGACTCTTCCGACGCCCAGCCCACGCGCCACGTCTCGCTGCCTATATGAGAGGGATCAGTGATGGCGGCGAGATGAGCTATGCCTGTCTGCACATGAGCCACAGGCGGCGCAGGTACGAGTGGGGAGTGAGGTACAGGCTGTATTCGAACCATGGTCAATCACGATGGGCGTTTTGGCTTTCAGGTGGACCTTGTGGTCGGTGGCGCGGGAATCCGGCTCGGCGGCGGGCCGCTCTGCAATCACAAAGATGTCGTCGGACGACATGATAATGGGGGAAATGGGCTCAAGCCCGATGTGGAACAGAGCCTCGGGCCCCACGAAACGCTTGCCCGGTAACGACAAGCAAGCACTCTGAAATCAAACCAGCCTCAGGCCGACATCCGCATCCTTGCCGTGGTCAACTGTGTTGACACTCAGTGGGCACTATAGCACGAATCAACCGCATGAGCCTTGGCCGCACATCGACGCCTCAAACGCCCGACCCCATGTCGCCCGAGGCACCAGAGCAAGCGCCCTCACCAGCCAAAAAAACAGACCTCGGCAGGCCACAGCCAACACAGTTGGCCAGCCTCTCCTCCCTCGTGCTCTCTCAATCTCGCTCTTGCACACGGAGGGACCGGACCGACCACAAGCAAAGGGACGGAAGAGAGTCAAACGACAAAACGCCGCGCGCTGGAGAGATTGAAAGTGAAGAAGTGAAGGAGAGAGACACACAGAGAGAGAGACAGAGAGAGAGAGAGAGAGAGAGAGAGAGAGAGAGAGAGAGAGAGAGAGAGAGAGAGAGAGAGAGAGAGAGACAAAAAAAAAGCATCACGGCCAGTGTGTGTGGAGTGTGAAGCCAAAAAGGAAAGATAGCGATTGGTGGTTTCGATCCACCGACCTCGAGGTTATGGGCCTCGCGCGCTTCCTCTGCGCCAAATCGCTTCGACTTGTTCGTCTAGTCCACTAATAATTAATATAAATGAAAATAAAGTCAGCTAAATGGCACATGTAGCTGTATTTTCTTTGTTGTTGTTTTTTCCAAGTCGCGATGGCAGTGCAGCGCATGGGTCGTTCGCAGAGAGCGCAACAATAAAAAAAAGAGACCTGTTCACATACGAGCGTGAAAGGTTCGATTCATGCCCAGGTGCCATCGACTCAACAACTCATGCGACGCCGGTAAAAAAACAAGAAGCTCGGTCCAAGCTGAGAAGGACCAAGGGCAAAAAGGAAAGATAGCGATTGGTGGTTTCGATCCACCGACCTCGAGGTTATGGGCCTCGCGCGCTTCCTCTGCGCCAAATCGCTTCGACTTGTTCATATACCTCAAAATAGTTTATATAAAGCTGAACATTAAAAAAAATATCCACCAATTTTCTAAAGCTGACAATCGCTCCAAAACAAAAAAAGAAGAAGCTCTTGCTCTCTCTCTCTCATTCTCTCTCATTCTCTCTCATTCTCTCTCATTCTCTCTCTCTCTCTCTCTCTCTCTTGGCTCGCTGTCTCTCTGTCGCGCGGGGGAGCACTGGTGGGGGAGATCTCACACGGGTGGTATCGAGCTACTTGTTGTGAGACGGGTGGCTGTGTTGACTTGTTGCGACTGGGCGAGACTTGTCAAGATGGCCGAGTTGGCGGTGGAAGCTGTGCCGGGCGCAGCTGGGTCAGATGCGCGGCAAGAGGCCGACGATGACCTCACCGCCTTCTTGGACCAAGTGCTGCGCTACGAGCCTGCCGTTGAAGATGCCTTGAAGGAGGTTTGATTCTGCTGTTCAAACACTTGGCGCCATGGACCCGCCGTGCTCGAGCTTGTTCAAAGAGACGAGTGTGGCCTCTTGCTTTCTTCGTGCCAGTTGATTCAGCCACTGACGCCCCTGCTCACTGCTTCTAGATCTTTGATAGCAGCGACCCTCTGGATGCTCCAGAATTCGATGCCGTTGGCTACATTAACAAATTGTTTCCTACCGAACACGTACGCCGCCTCACGCCTCTCCGGCTAGCCAAGGCATTTCAGTTTTTTTTCCGACCACCAGCTTCATAATTCTCCTCATGACATCGCCCTTGTCACAGAGCTTGGCCAGTCTGGACGAGACGGTCTTTTCGCTGCGCAAAAAGCTACGGTACATGCAAGCGCCAGTAGCCTGCTTTGTCGTGTTGCACGTGTTCGACTCACCCTCCTTCCAACCAACCCAGCGTTCTGGATCAAGACATTCAGCAAGGCATTCGCCAACAGTCCAATAGTGGTGCTGGACAATTTGCATTGCAAACCGTGCGTTTGTCTGCCGCACCTCCAAGCTCCAAACCAGTCAATGTGTTTTTTCTCGTCTGCTCACTCACGGTTACTCCTTCCGCCTCCCGCGTGCTGGCCGTTTCTTGCTTCAGGCCCAAGGCGGCATGGTCGAGCTCATGACTCGAATCGAAAACATTGGCAGCAAAGCGCGAGCCTCCGAGGAGATGGTCCAGGTATAGCAAATTTCACCTTTCGTAAAGCGTCTTCTTTTGGCTCACAAGGCTCGCTCGTACAGAATCCGCTGGATACACTTGTCCGCGCCGGCCTGGTACCCCCATTCATCCGAAAAAAAAAAAAACCTGCCCCTAAACCCCACTCACAGGAAATTACCAAGGGCATCAAGTCATTGGACGTTGCCAAACGGAACCTGACAGCCTCCATCACTACCCTCAACCACCTCCACATGCTCGTCGGTGGCGTCGAATCTCTTCAGACCATGGCTGAACAAGGCCTCTACCAAGAAGCCGCACACCTTTTAGCAGCGGTAAGCCTCTTCCTTGGCAGTGTCTCTCCCCGCTGTGCTGTGTCTTGGCTAATGTTGACGCCAACGCATGCAGACCATCAATGTACTTGAGCACTTTGAGGGCCATAAAGACGTGCCACAAATTCGTGAACTGTCTTCCAAGTGAGACCTTGCCGTCCGCCATGACCGTGGCCGCGTTGCACTGACGGCTGTTTCCAATTCTCATCATACCATGACACCCGCCCCCTACTTTAGAATTGCAAGCATCAAACGCATTTTGGGCCAACAAATTCGCATGGAATTTCGCACCGTCTATCACCACATTGAACCAGACTTTTCTGGGTATTCGCAGGAGAAGGTCTGCTCTTTCGTCAATGACTTCAAGCCGTGCATCCGATCGTGATCCCACAGCCTGACCTTTTTCCTACCTTTGCTCGTGACAATGGTGCCGAACAGCTACAACACGCCTGCATGGTCCTTGACGTCCTCGACGAAGACCTGCGCGAGGGCGTCTTGGAATGGTTTGTCGACATGCACCTCCGCGATTATCCGCGGACCTTTGCTGTGTCAGGTGATCAGGTTTGTTTCAACCGGTCAAACCCCGCACCTAGCATATCAGAGGGGATGAGTTGATGATGCGATGCTTTGTAGGCTACATTGGACAAGGTGGATCGCCGCTTCGCCTGGTTCAAGCGCATGGTGGCTACCTATCTCGAACACTCGCACGCTCTTTTCCCACCTTCGGTCCGTTCTATTCTCTCGCATCGTGGTTTGAGTTCCCAACTATTGTCTCGACGCGCGCTCTTACCTAACTCCAATCTTCGCTGTAGTGGCGCATGCCGCAACGTCTAGCCTTGCGCTTTTGTGAGATGACAGAGCGCCAGCTACGCGAACAAATTACCAACCATCGCGACCAAATAGATGTGAAGGTGTGCTACTTGCGTTTACCCGGCCCTGCCACTCACCGTGAGCTGACAAAACGCCTGTCTGCGGCACAGCTCCTGTTGTTTGCCGTCCAAAAGACTTCACACTTTGAACAGTGGCTCAACGCCAAATTTCGCTATCGCGAAGACGTGCGTCATTTCCCCGCTCCAACTCTCTGCTCCGCTGGGTGATTGTTGCTCTTGATGTCGAAAGCTGATGACTTTAACCTCACGCTCCTATCTTTGCAGCAAGAAGACGATGAGAGCAGCGATGATGACGACAATGCCCCTGGCACCACAGATGATGCTGAGGCAAGAAAGGCGTGATTTGATTCTCTCTGAATTCGCATGGGCATCTGGCTCTACTTTCGCGCCTTTCGGCGCTCGGCTATGGGCGCAGCTGCTTCTTACGAAAGCACCACAAACCCTTAGGAACCTGCTTCTGCTGCTGATGAAATTCGTCAACGCTACTTGCGTCATCGACGTGAGCAGGAACGCGAACAACGGTGCGAATCGCTGCCTTTGGTTGCCCTGACTACAGCACGATAGATCCGAGCCCTTGCTAACCCTGCCGTATCGCCATCCGTGACCAATAGGCGAGACAAGCGCGGTGGTGACAAGCCTTCCCGGAAAAAGGATAAACTTGACTTTTCGAACAAGATCTCCCACGTGTTCAGTGAATGTCTTGACATTTATGTCTCGGCTCAGGAAGAGAATCTCAACCAGATGCTGGACCAGTTTGCCCGTGACTTCAAGTCTGCCCTGATGTTTCCAGACGACGACGGCAGTCACGATGAAGGCGCAAAGGTACTGGTCACGATTTGATATGGTCAATCTGGCAGGGCAATCCGTTTGGGGCGTGGATCCGTGCGGCCAGATTCATTAGGCTAAGACTCGGAACGGTTCATGGCTATGCTTGCCTCTCGTGCCTCGCACAGGTGCTTCCATCAAGTGGTGACATGTTTGTCTTTTTCCGAAACAGCATGGTTCAATGCTCGTCGCTCTCAACTGGCCAGCCGCTCTTTGAGCTCTACGCCGTTTTCAAGCGCGTGCTTGGGTACGCGTGTGACAGCACGCGTGTGATGGCCTCCCATGCCAATTGCCGCCCCCGTAATACTTGACTGTTTGCAACACCTGATCTCATTCGTTCTGGATTTAACGTCGTCGTTTGTGCCGACCTTGCACTAGTTCTTACACGGAGCAAATTCTCAAGGCCAACATGCCCAAGGCCAGCAGTTTGGCTCAACTTCTACTCAAGGAAGCGGAGGTGTGTGCGCATTTGCCCTGGCTCTGTGCTTTTGACCATGGCTAGCTCATTCTGGTTTTTGAACACGCACTTTTGTGCTCGTCTGATTGCAGCTTCGACTTTCCAAGCAGGAGATCTACTTGGTTTGTAGTCTACTCAACACGGCTGACTACTGCCAGGATACCACGCGCCAGCTCGAGGAGAAACTCGAAGAGAAGCTGGATGAGCCATTCAAGGAGAAGGTGTGCCCAGCGCAGCTGTGTACTCGCTTGTCTTGATTCCGTGTTGTGTGGATGTGGCCTGCACCAGGGTGTAGACCACCAAACGGCTATCCACATGCTCATGACTCGCTGGTTCTGTCTGGGGCATTGCACAATCATCGCGGGTAGTTGGATCTCAAGGAGGAGCAGGACGCCTTTTATGAGCTGATTGGCACTTGCTCTCAAGTACTCGTACGCACACTTGAGTCGCACTGCGATGCTGCGCTTTCAGTCATGAGCAAGACTCGCTGGGACGCCGTCGAGGAGGTCCGTTCGTGGTGGCCTTTGTTTGAATCTTTTCAGGTTGTTTGCGTTGCGGATCGTGCTTCATTTTGGGTCTCGGCGGTGCGTTAGGTTGGCGATACTTCTCCATTTGTGTCGCAGATTGGCAAACACGTTGCGGCTACGGTGCCGTTGGTGCGCACGTATCTGGTATGGCCCGCTTGTTGATGCCGCGCATTGCGATGCTGTCACTAGTATGTCGCCTCGCCCCGAGTCTGATCCGAGACTTTCACCCCTTTTTGTTTTGTTTTTGTTTTTTTGAGCAGGGCCACAACCGGAAGTACTTTGTCAATTTTTGTCTAAAATTTGTGAACAGCTTTGGGCCGCGCATCGTTGCTGCCTTGCGCAAGTACGTGGTCGTCCCGATGGACAACCGATAATAAATGTCGTGTGCACGCTTTCACCGTGTACTGGTGCCGTGGTGTAGGTGCAAAAATATTTCTACAGTGGGCGCTGAACAGCTCCTGCTGGATATGCAGTCGGTATGTTTGCAGCGGGTGCTTGCTGTGCTCGTCTGCGCGCCGCCTTGACCAACGTCGTTGCCCCTCCAGCTTAAGATGGTGTTGCTGGAGCTGCCGGCGATTGGGTCTGCGACTGCACGGCGGCCGCCGGCACACTATTTAAAACATGTCAATGAGCAATTAACCAAAGCAGAGCTGACCTTGAAGGTGTGCTGTGGTCGACCATGCCGGGTTGGGGTACACCTGCTTGATTGTCCGTGCCTGCCACCCTGTTCATTTTGCTGCTTTTGTTTGTAGATGGTGCTGGCCCCGATCGATCTGCCAGACATGTTTGTGCAGGACTATGTCAAGGTATGAGTGACTGCTCGATCGGCTGACGCCTGCTTGCGCTTGTGCGCTGACTCATTTGACGCGTGTCTCGGTGGTCTTGTGTTGGCATCTTTGCGTCTCCGTAGCTGATTGGCACCGATGAGGGTGTACCGGGCTTCCAGCGGGTCCTTGACATGCGAGGTTTGTTCTGCTTGAATGGAGCCGCTCTTGTATGTGCGCGCGTCTCACATGAATGCTTTTTTGTTTGCTTGTCTGTTCGTTTGTTTGTTTTGGCGTACAGGGGTCAAGAAGTCTGAACAGCAGGCCTTGCTGGCTGCCTTCCGAGAGCACATGGGCACCGGGTCTGCGTCTGCAGCCCAACAGGAGAAGTATGTCTTCCAGTGCTTCCGCATCTGATTCTTTTGTGGATGTCTTTTCTTGTGCCATGTGTCGGTGGCTGACTGGCTTGTAACTGCGTTTCGCTCCTTCTTAGGTCCAAGCCCGCCAAGGGCAAGAGCCGTAACCTCAATCTACGTGGTCTCGAGTCTTTCATGAAGCGCTTTCCAATCAAGGGTTCTGGCTCCCACACTTGAAGACTGTCTTGATAGACATCTCGTGAGACTCGTTCATGCAGAGGTGAAAATTAATCGAAAATGGACATGACCGCAAATGTACAGCATGTGACCCTCCTTCCTCTTGTGAGGCTGTTACTGCCAGGTGGGGAGCGTGTTGTCAAAATAATTGGAGCTGTCATTTTTCGCGAGTTTGTGGTTAATTTTCTCTTGATTTTGCATAATTTTTTGCTGATTTTTATTTTGGTTATGTTTGGGCATGTACTGTCATGCCGGGCCGAGCTTGTTCCCGGCGAACATTCCGTGCACCTGGTTCGGGTTACTATCCTCTCGACTCACTACTGCACATATGATCCTGGCTGTGTTTGTTTCCTAACTTGCAAGGGGCACAAGATGCTTATTAGCCGTGGATAAGAAGATAAACGGTTTTGTTTTATTGAAATGAGAACATCTCATCCCACGTTGACTTCAATACAATGAAGAAATGTGAATTCAAAAGATCATGCCCTGCAGCAGGCAGTTACGTGCTGCCGAGTTGTTCGAAGGAACGCGTAGTAACCGTGCGGCTCAATCCAAGTCTGTTGGATAGTTGCCAAGGAGCAGGTCCAAGCGTTCATCAAAGTCTTCAGCGTCCAATGGAGGCAAGCTCGTGTCATGGTCCGACATGCCTGCACCACGCGCGCGAAAGTGAACATACGCGACGGAACATTACAGCGCCAAGTCTAAAAGATACAAACCTGCAAACAAACTCATGTCATGTGGTGCAGCCTGACTAGCATGAAGGTCCTTTGCAGATCGGGAATAGCTCGTGTGATGCAAAGGTCGCTGCCACGAGCGGGCATCCACGTCCTCGTGAGCCGGCATGGATGCCGAGGAGGCTCGCGGCATATTAGCAGCCGATCCACATGTTCGCCTGCAAGAGACAGTGTCAGGGTCACACGACACACACGCCCGCACGAGAACACGCGCCCCGATACAACGTACCGCAGAGCCTCTACCTCGGCACGAAGGGTCTGAAGCTCGTGGGCCGCAGCGTGGTCATCAGGTCGGCGCACATCTGCCTACACAGCAGCAATGCAACGACACACGTGAATCTGATTCGCACAGCGCGAGAGCGCACACAGGATCAAGTTGCACAACACGGATCCAGGTGTACCAACCTCACGCTGCATCTTATCCAAGCGATGGCGCTGTTCAAGCAGGCCGGTGGTAGCAGTGTTGAGTTCCATCTGCAGGCGAGTCACCAGGCCTTGTAGCTGAGTCGTCTCCTGGGTCAAGTGACCCACGTCACGTTGAACCGACTAGAGAGGGACAAGCACAGGTACAAGGACGCGAGGCAAACCGCGGCATGTGAGGCGGCGCGGGGCGTGGGGATATCATGGATGCCCTTCAGCTGTTGAGCCATGTCAGTTGGGCACCCACAGCAGACTCCAACCTGTCGGAGACTCGTAAGCTCGTAGCGGATATTGTCCAGAGCTTGCTGCGACCCCACGGTCTGCTCAGCAACTTGACTCTCATGGCGCTGGGAACGCTCCAATCGGACCAGACGGTTGTCCAGGGTCATGCCCAGCTGTAAAGAAAAAAATAGAAGCAAGGGTCATCTCACCCATGCAGACGCGGCGAGGGGGAAGACCAAGGAGGAGCGGGCTTGCCTGGGCAAACTTGCGCTCTGTCGAGAGGTCTACGCCTCGCTCTCGCAAGCGCTTGTGCAACACCCCCATCTCATCTAAGGTGTACCCACACAGGAATTGAGCGCACACAGGCTATGGTGGTCATCGGACAGGAGCTGATGTGCGAAGAAGTGCATTGTGCCCAATGTAGTATCCAGACTCGAGCCACTGTGCATACCGCGCAAGTCAGCAATGATTTCATCCTTGGCAAGCATGTCTCGTTGCAGAGTTTGAATTGATTCGCGCATTGCGGCCATATCCTGTCGATAGGATCAAGAACCCCACCATGAGCTGATCTCGAGCGTAGAGGGTCAAGCATGCCGGCCAGGATACCCACAGTCTGAACGGTGGCGAGCAAATCCACCATGCCCAACGAGAGAGGAGCCGTACGCGTTGTGGAACGCGAGCCAACAGGAGCACTTGGAGGGCCATCAAGTTGCGTTCTGATGCCGTGCGGCTCAGGAAGATTGTACGTCTACACCGCGTGGAGCAGGCGCAAGAGGAACAGGGTGGACACGAGCAAGTCAAGGTATGGTGCGAGGCAGCGAGATCTTTACGGACGCGAGAGGGTGCTCAACAGCGCCAAATGGCACGCAGGACGGTCACACGAACGTCTAGTTCATCCAGAATCTGACGCGTCCGCGAGGCAAGGCCACGAATCTGATCCATTTTCTTCTAGCTAGAACGGCACAAAGGCAGTTGCAAGCCTTGATAGCTCGTGCCTCTCTCGACGTATCCAGCAAGAGGGTTGAAACTCGGGACCACGCGTCGCAAACGAAGCAGCGAAAAAAACAGAAGCAAAAAAGAAAAACCAAACTCGACTCGAGCGTCCGCCTGCGACCTTGTGAACGTATCGAGTTTGAAAATTGGCGCGAATTATAAGCACGAATTTTAGCTGACATTCACATTTCGTCGATGGCCGTTTCATTCCGTTTTCGACCGTTTCAAAGAGAGAGAGAGAGAGAGAGAGAGAGAGAACGCGCGCGCATTTTTTGTTTGACGTCCGAGCTGCGCAGTTGGCTTTGATGTCGTCTGATTGAAAGTCGAGTCATCTACGTGCTCGGAGTGCCATTGGTGAATGCAGCTCGGTGCCATAGGCAAAAAAAGTCATAGATTGGTGTATTTCTGGCCTTCGTTTCTCAGTGGCGCACGCATCGAGAGAGATAATTGTGTACAGTCTTGCCTCCTCTTCGCCGGCGCCATGGTGAGTACTGACGGGGAACGGTTGATGGTTTTCTTGGGGTTGGCGTATTGGGTGACTCACACTCGTATCTACACTTGCAGGGTCGCAAGGGCTTGTCTGCTGAAGAAAAGCGCAAGCGCATGATGGAGTTTTTCTATGAGACGGTACATTTTCTGCGCAGCTTGAGCCACAGCTGCTTGAAGTGTCGCGCGGACCGTGACGACCACCTCGCGCCCCGTCTGATTGTCGTAGGAGGATGTTTGGCAACTCAAGGAGGTGGAGAAGATTTGTGCCAAGGAGAAAGGCATCAGTAAGTCTTATGCATCGAGCGCGGCTCGTGCGCTGTCCTCCGCAATGGCTGACACCATTTGGCCGGCTTTTCTAGCCTCCATGGCAATCAAGGATGTGCTGCAAAGCCTGGTCGACGATAACATGGTTCACGTCGAGAAGATTGGCACCTCCAACTACTACTGGGCTTTTCCAAGTGAAGGGGCCGCAATCGTGCGTGACGCTGCCGCTCTTGGCGCAATCATCGTCGTCTCTTGTGGCTCACAGCCTGTTCTCCACGCTCGTTCTCCTCTCATCATCTTCACCCTGACACTGACTTGGGTAGCGTGGTAACAAAAAAGACGACTACAACAAGAAGATCCAAGAGCTACACCGGCGCGAAGCTGCCGCCAAAGAGGGACTCGAGGCTGCCCGCGTTGGTCGCGAACCAACTGTAAGCAGCGTGCGCAGGGCGTAGCGCTCCTCTGGCTTTTTGGCGAGCACGCGTGGCATGGGTAGAGCAAGCCTGCATGACCACGACTTGGGTCTTGAGTGTGTAGGAGAAGCGTGCAAAAATCATGAAGGAGATTGAAGATGCCAAGGCCACTCTGGTCAACATCGACACTGAGCTGCAATCCTTCCGAGACTGTGATCCCGAGCTTCTCAAGGATCGCGGTGTGTAGCCTGGCTGCTCTTTGCTATTGATTTGACTCAGACAAAGGCGTGTGGTGCCTCATTGATCTTTCGTTCTTCGCCCCCATTTCTGCGTGTCCACCCGCAGAGGACAAAACCAAGGTAGCCATGCAAGCGTGCGAACGTTGGACAGGTGCGTGACCATGAAAATTAATATTTTGGCATCGAGTACAACATGTGTCTGGGCTGTTTCAGCTCGATCCCATGGATGGAAAGACGCAATTAGAAATTCTATTGACTGTGTGGCAAGTGACCAAAGAAGAGTTCGGTCATCACATCATCCTCCCTGACACGCTCTTTTTTTTTTTTTTTGGGCACATGTTGTTCGGCAGATAACATTTTCAATCTACGCAGTTGGTGCCAAAAGAAGTTCAACATTGAGCCATCAGTCTTTGATAAGAACTTTGGCATTCCAGGCGACTTTGATTATCCTACCTGAAACGAGCGGCCTTTCAATGGGCCGGCAAGCGTGGAATGTCGTGCTCATCCAGCAACGGCATCATCTCACAAACGGCCTCAGATCGCACTGTCAGCAAGTACTGGAACCCAAAATATCAGGCGAGCATGATCATCATGAGCGTTCCGGAAGCGTGCCTTTGTATGCGCGCGCGTGTTTGTATATTGTCATCGGTGCGGGCATGCACGAGCTTTTTGTGTGCCTTGACGTGTGCGTGCAGGTGCGTTGCAGTAGACCACAGGTGCGCCAAGGAGCGCACGGGGGTGTGGTGCGGGCGTATGTGTATATGTGTGTGTGTTCTTGGGGTTGGTCGTGTGCATTTGCCTACCTCACAAGTCTTGCGCTCTTCCAGTGCCAGCACCACTGATCCCTTGTCCATTGTCGCAGAGCAGACGAATCGAATATCCACCTGATGTCATGAAGCCGTGAGCAATTGCTCTGAAACGTATACACTACACGCGAGGGGCAAGGCACGCAGGCCAGGGCAGGACGCACCCGACGTGGGCTATTTGTGAGCTCGCAGATGTCGCCGTCCATGTAATAGTGGGTGAACATGCGCCGTTTGCTGGTAGTGGGCTGGCGGTCATTCCATTCCAACACATGACCCCGCTCATCCCACGTCCCCAGAACGATGTAGTCTTTGCGCCCATCCTGATGAGCGTGGTATTGGCGGACATGGCGCAAGGGACAAAATTCAAAGCGCCACCAGCCACTGCCACCTCCTAAGCCCATTGGTGACCCACAACCAGAGGTGAGGGTGCAGACCTCCAAGCACAGTGTTGCTGTCTGGAGCTTTATTTACAGCATGCATGGTGAAACCACTAGCGTGTATGGACGTACCATGATAGCAGCTACTTCCCCGGACTAGCTTTTTCATCAAATTAGGGTCGTAGGGCTTGCTAGAGGGTGGGCGGTTTGATTCGCTTGCCTCCTCCGACGGCTTGCGGCGCGAGGAGGCGCGACGCTTGAATGGCGACTCCTCGGAGGATGGCAACTGTGGGCGGCGACCTGAAGCCTCACGGCTTTCCTCGCCATCACCATGATCTTCCTCTTCTTCTTCTTCTTCAGCACTTGCCGCAGCAGCTGCAAGTGCAGCACGGCGCAGATGTTGATGTTGTCGCATTGCAGCCTCTCGCTCTTGGCTCACGCGCAGCATGGCCTCCTATGCCGCCAAAATGCAAGCACATCACCGCGTTGAGTGCACTACCACATGCTTAAATTAAGTGGCGGAGTTCTGGACCGACCTCGCGGTACGATTGCTCTTGTGCCATCATGTGTTGCAGCGCCACAGGTTGCTCTGGAGAGTCCGGCCTGGCGCAAGGGTGGAAGAGTATGGTGAACATGAGAGCTTGCGCCACGAGCTGAGCCACTAGACTTGGGCAAAGTGTGCGGAGTGGGGTGCAGCAGAAGTACGCACTCGGGCACGCAATGAATCGGGGAAACGGGTGCCTCGAGCTCAACAAAGTCTAACACAGTCGAAGGATCAGCCACGGCGTGCGTGAGCTGCCGTCACGTTTTCAAATTTTTGTCGAGATGAGGATACATTGGGCAGGAGATAGGCAAAGTGACGTACCAGCGTGATCGCAGAGATGCGACGTCGCAATCAGAGCTTGGTACCTAGTAGTCATGGAGGCGTTAGGTGTTATTGAGGCCTCAACACGAGTGGAATACAAAGGGCCAAGGGCCAAGCAGGTACGCACCGGCAAGTGGTTGTTTCGGATAGCTCCAGAAACACGTGTGTCTGTTCTGGGTTGCACACAAAGCGGACCTCAGTGACGCGGGGCTCGCCCGTCAGGTCGCAGGTATCGCCGTGGCCATATTCCTCGCTATAGTACTTGCTCTTGTCGTCCTCAACAAGCATCGTTCCAGAGACGGGAGGCTCACTCAGCGGTGCCTGCGTCTGTGCTCATGCACAAACAACTCCAGAAGAATGAGTACGGAGCACTGAGATGTTCAGTTTGCATGCCGGAGGGGTGGGGGCGGGGGAGCTGGACCGTGGTCTTACTGGCGCACGCCCGAGAAAGTATTCTGTGACCTTGAGCTTCTTCTTTTGGCCGCTTGTGTACGTCTCTTCGTGGTATTGCCGTACGTGCTTGCCGAAACAAAACTCGTAGGTCCAGTAGGGCTCGAGTCGATACACGCAAGTATCCCCAAAAACGCTGGGCGCGGCATTGCGGTCAGATGAATTTTATCGCCAAATCAAGAAGAAGAAACACACCGATATGTACCAGTCGATGAGGCCAGAGCAAGATTGTGACGATGAGAGCCAGCGAGTACCATCGGCGGGTCGATTATCAAGCGGGTAAGAGCACGCACCTCAGCAGCTGAGCCGGATGAGCAGCATCCGAGCCCACAAGCAAGTCTTGGCTTTCGGAAGATGACATATCGCCAACATTCTCCACTACCTTCCGCTGTGGCAGCTGGCAGCGATAACGCTCGCGATCGGCCGTCATAATGGTGACCACCTAGTTTGTTGGGCCAGCCATGCCCAAGCAGCAAGTGAGTTTAGATGGCTCATGAATTGCATGCTATTCGTCGTCGGGTTGCAGTGGCAGGCTCGGTCACTTGCCTCGCCTTGTAAAACATGCCCGGGAGTGAACTTGAGCTCATGGAGTACGTCTGGATCAAAAGGATTCGGCAGAGCATGTCCGCTTGCACCGGCCCATGGTCGCCCCATCGCCACAAGCACCACCAGAGCCACGGCAGTGCCGTGGCACCAGCCCCGCTGACGTGGCGACCACATCTCACCCCAACAAGTCGAAGAGAAGAAGGTCAAATGCTCCAAAGTCTGTGTGTGTGTGTGTGTGTGTGTGTGTGTGTGTGTGTGTGTGTGTGTGTGTGTGTGTGTGATGCTTTTGTTGTTTGTCGCTTTCTTTTGTTTTGTAGCTGAATTCCATGTCAGTTACGTTTAGATCTTTTAGAACACAAAACGCGACGAGATGTCATGTTATGGTCAAGAAGGGCCGGAGGTAGGAGGGTGTGTGTGCGCGCGCGCAAGTCGCGAATTGGAATGTTGACATTGTGCAGATCTGATCATGTTGTTCTGATGTTGAATTCATCTGTTTGCCACCATGGGCGGGTAATATAGGTCAGAATCAAGACTGCTTTATGCAGCGAGAGGTGCAACCAGCGAATATCCAATGCAACACTTCCAAGACTCCGTAGGTGATTGCTTGATGGCCAGGTGCTCTTAAAGTTCAAGCTATGCGGGCAGACCATTCGATGGCTCTGTCGCTAAAGAAACTGGAACATATCCTCAGGAGTTGGTAGCATTTAATTCTGCGAGATCGTTTGGACCATGCTGTGGCTCGTAGGTCGAGAACAGGCCCTGCTGTGCTTGAACGAGCCATTTGTCCGCAACCTCTTTCTTGGCACCAAACGTGGTCCAGCCTCCCTCAGCTGCCGTTGCGATTTCAAAGCAAACATGTCGTGGGCGTGAGACAAATGCCGTCAACCTTGCCGCACCACAAACCCGGCCGCATGCAAGAGACTCACGCAAACTTAAACAGGGAACGTTTTTGAGTACACCCAGTCGGCTCACGCTCTCCAGTGATGCACCGTCTTGCGTGGGAATGCGGACAAACAAGCTGGGCAGACAGCCTGGAAACAACCCCCCGATGCTGTGGTCCACAAGGTTTCATGAGGACAAAACCGTAGACACGTGTTGCACTACGCGCGTTTGGTCTTGCCAAACAGAGGCAAAATTGACCACCAATCGCACTGACCATGGCAATGCTTCCGCAGGAATCTCTTGGCTGGCCAAAATTTCTTTGCCGACACTGCGAAACTGAAGCTCGCCCGCAAGTTGGTGTGAAAACAGAAGGAATGTGTAATAGATCTATAAATCCAACCGTAGAGCTCATTGGTGAGAGCAGTCGCCTCCTTACCAGCACGACAACAAGGCGAGGGGAAAGAGAGAGCAAGAGCCAGGCCAACTGACCTCAAGAGGCAAACGGCCGCTCTTCTGGTAAATGGAGACAAGATGCTGCACCACGTTGGTACAGAGACATCTAGATGCGAGTCAAGCAGCATGCAAGTCAAGCAGCAACACACCGCCACAGGCTTGTAACCCCAAACATGGGCACGGGATATCCAACACTGTCGGAATGACTTACTTGAGCTGCTCACGAACAAACTGGTTCATGCGAGTGCACAAGATTTGTGTTGCACTGCTAACAATCTTTAAAAGAGCGAGAATCAAGCTGGGGCTCGGCCTTTGCTCGAGAAGCTTGTTGAGATTGGCCAGCCAATCCACTGTCGCAGAGCTCGAGTTTTGCTTCAAGACAACTGAGACCAGGCGCTCCAGCTCATGAACAGGCTTTGTGTCAGCCGGTTCGGACCGTATCCAGCATTTGAAGAGCTCATCTGGTAGCACCTTGAGCGTGCCCGGGGCAAAGCTCTCAAACAGCAACAATAACAAGGGGCACTGCTCCTCGAAACAACGTGTGGATTACATACACGCGCGTGAGGGTCATCAATGACATCAAAACCTGGCATCAAAGCACAGGGCATCGACATGGCAAGGTAGCACTAGCTTTCCATCCCTCGCCTTTGTTTCAAGCGATTTGGTTTGTCGTTCCTGACTCTGAACACACAACAATACCTACCCGATTCGTGGGTTGCTGCAAGATGACATCATCCAGGAGTGCGCCCCGAACGGCTGGCTCTTCAAAGACCTTGGGGTCACATAGCTGCTCAAGCAGCAGGTCAGGGGGTGCATCACATCGTCAAAGTCTGGTGAGACAATCGGGTTTGCGTCTGCAATTCACCATGACGAGGTGCGAGAACGTGTTTTTTGCCACACGCGTACCATGGCTCGCAATCGCACGAGGTGGCCAACTGGAGAGGAGAGGAGGCGTAGGAAAAAGGGTGCGTCCGACGCCAGACTTTGCTTGCTAGCGTCTATCCAGATGGTTCAGAGAGCTTTGCGTGAGAATGCCAAAGGCCTGGGTTGACGCCAGCAAGTAAAAGGCTGCCCCGTATGCAGAACATCGCAGTTACACTCCGGCGCACGATGGCACAACGTACAATCCAGCCAGCCGGGCTCTCGCAAGGCAATCAAATCGTCAAGATTACGCAAGATGTCATTTGAACTTCGTTTATTGATGATGCCAAAGATCAGGTCACACGTCATGTCGTCAACAAAGATCTCGGCGAGCAGCTCAAGCCGCATGCTCTGCACATCGTCATTCAAGTCCCCAATGTGCGATCGGCCTGCCATGACCTCCCGTACTTGCTCGACAAGGTCTCGGAAGGTCATGAAAGTTCGCCAGTAAGGGCGACGTTCAACAACGACTCTGTGCACAAACATCAGCAGGCACAGCCGTGGGGTGACAGGGTCGGTGCGAGAGTTGCTAACAAAGCCGACAAGCTTGTTGATGGAGGGGGTGAACCCAGCTTCCAGGGCAGCACACAGGACCGAGGTGATGGCACGCGCAACTGGCAAGTTGTGCAGGGCCTGCACGTCCAGTGCACTGAGGCGATTAATTTCACGCGTCAGCGCATGCTGGCCGGCTGGGAAGCGGCGGCTCACGGCGATGATCACCTCGGTCAAACTGTTGACATATTCAGCATCTGTCATTGTGTGTGTGTGTGTGTGTGTGTGTGTGTGTGTGTGTGTGTGTGTGTGTGTGTGTGTGTGTGTGTGTGTGTGTGTGCGAGGAGTGCGCAAGGTCGGGGAGATGATGCAGGGTGAGTTGTCGACAAGAGGTAGGCAGGGAACACGTCATGGTGCTGGTCATGAAAAGGCAACTTTATCGATACACGAGTTTGGACGCACCATGCAGACGATGAATGTGGGTGGTATCGCGGCCCAGAACCACGGCCATCAAGGAGGCCAGGAGGCCAGCTGCATTGTCAGCACTTTCGCTCCACGCCGAATGCTCCTCCAAAGCCTTCAAGGAGGGATTCTCAATCACTTCTTTCAAGGTGAAGTCTTGGAGCGCCGCGCGTTGATCTGAGACGGCGACGGGGTCCACCGACGGCCACCCAGCCTCCGGCCCTGGCTCAAGACGGGCCAGGTATTGCCGCGTTTGACACTCCTCCACGGTGTGTGGATCCTTGCGAGGAGGCAGAGCGGCTACAAGGGTATTGATCAAGGGCGCATAGCGCTGAGCCAGGCACAACAAGGGTCCATGGGTAGAACATAATAAAGATTTTGCGTAGAGTTCAACAGCATCGCTAGGCGCCAAGCTTCCTGTCACAACCACCCGTTGGAAAGCATCCAATGCAGCTTGTGCATTGCCGGCCGCCAGGTAGAGCTGCAAGCAAAGGTCCAAAGCCACGACGCGCAGCGCCTGGCCTTGGCTCTCGTCGAGCTCGTCCTGGTCTTCGAGTGAGGCGTCAGGGTCTCCGCTGATAAGGCAAGCACCATGCAAAGCAAACTGTAACAGCGTGTCCGCAACGTGCCCGCGATCGTTCAAGCTCCAACTCTCTAGGGTCAAAGCTGGCATAGGTTCAAGCGTGGTGAGGAATGGTCTGCTTAATGATGCCGACTTTGGGTAGTCTACAGGCAGACGCGTGGTTCAATAACCCTCGAGAAAGTACAGACGTACCACTTGGCATGGTCTGGCCTTGACTTGCAGCTACAACCAAGTCTTGCGCTTGTGCCAAACCCTAATGAAGGTTAAAAACAAAAACAAATTACCAAAATGAGTTGGAGATTGACAGGGCAGGAAATGGGCACATTTCATGAAAGAGCCCAGTGGAAAGAGCCTGAGAGCGATTCGGACGCAATGGTTCGCCGTTTGTACCTGGGCTGAATGCATCCGCGACTGATGTGCAAAGACAGCGAAAAGCGCGGTACCCCAGTCTTTACCACGGCATCCCACCAGGAGCGATCACCAGGCGAGAGAGGGGGAGAGGGAGATCGGGAGAAAGGAAGGAGGGAAGGAAGAACGAGTGAGATGAAACGGTGGGATCAGAGGCGCGTAGACACAGGATTGGTCCGATCGAAGCAAGCTCACCATGTTCCGAGCGGCTGCATGTCGTAGTTTGCAACACAAAAGTGGAGAGGCCGAGGTCTCGGGTCAGGATGGTCACAAGAATGCCGACGGCACCCAGTTGTGCGGCCGTGGTGGCATGCTGCAGCATGCGGGACAGAGCATCGGCTGCTGGTTTCACCAGCTCCCCAACATCGGTACCGGTGCTCCCAACCAGGCTTTGGATTAACTATTTGGCAGCAGACATGAGTATTAGAGGAGCAAGTGAAGCTTGTCAAAGCCACATGCACGAGGTAAGCACTGGGCCACGCTGCAGTATCTACCAGGTGAAGTGCTCCCATGATGGCAGAGAGGTGAGTGTCGGATAGAAGGTCTAGCCAAAGAAGCAAGGTTTGTGTTTGCTTCTCCCATGGCTGACCCTGTTCGACATCTGGCGTGGCGTCGGCAGGCCAAGGAGCACTGGCCATGGCAACTCGCTGGAGGGTCCAGTCGTAACATGCTTCAAAGACTTGACGCCAAGGGTCATGCGAAGGAGAGGGCAATTGCCGAGCGCGTCCATATTCATCGACTGAGCCTGGCGGCAGAGCGCGCCGCAACTCATCCGAGGCGACGAATATGTCCTTGTGCTGCTGCTTTCCAGAGTCAGCGGCGGGTGTGCTGGCTCGTGTTGAAGAGCCCGAGTTTCCAATTTCAGGTCCCCGAAACAGCTTCAAGAGTTCAGCTTCAAGCAAGTTCTGCCAGCTGCTGAGGTCGATGTTTGCTCCAACAAGATGCTTGCTTTGACCAAACGTGTGCAAGTTCTTGAGTGTGTCGGTTGTGGGCCCTGCAGGACCACCACATCAAACGCGAGTGGCACTGAGCCGTGTGTGTGTGTGTGTGTGTTGGGGGGGGGGGGGGGGG